GATGATAATGTTCCATTGCAGGTGTGAGGTATGGGAAAATGAATTGGAAATCAAAGAAATGAAAGAGCAACTTAAAGAACTTGTTGGTCTGTTGCGACAGAGTGAGCTGCGAAGAAAGGAGGTAGAAAAGGAGCTGAAGTTAAGAGAGCAAGCAGTTGCAATTGCATTGGCTAAATCACCTCCTGTAAGATATACACATCATCTTGCAGGCAATAATGGCTAAAGCAAAACTCTGTTCCAGAGCCTCCTTTCTATGTTGCAATGAAGCAACAAGTGATCATTAATTTCAAACTCGGAGTTAATAAAAGAATTAACATGATCTATCTTGAAAATAATTAAGAGAATGAGGTCCTCAAGTATTTTTTTTCATAAAATTAAAAGAACATTTTTCATATTGTGATGAAGTTTTAGCATGCTATATTGTGTGGATTACTATATTGCTTAGTGATATTTTAATTGCTAGTACTGCTTCTTTAACTCTTTTGAGTGGCGATGAATAGGAGAGTTCACCCAATTCATTGAAACACTTCACCGACGACATGAGTGCTCCTCTGTCTCCAATGTCCCTGCCTGCACAAAAGCAACTGAAGTATACACCAGGAATTGCTAATGGATCAGTCACGGAGTCAGCAACATGGATGAATCAAAGCCGAAAGGTCAGATTCTTCCTCTCTTACTTTTTTTGCCCCCCAATTTCTATTGAAAGCTCAGGACTCACCTTCTGCTTGCTGATAAGTTTGAATTTTCTGTTTGTGCAGATGGTACCCCTTGCCCAGTTGTCCACAAAAAGAGTAGTAACCATAGGACAAGCTGGGAAACTGTGGAGGTGGAAGAGAAGCCATCACCAGTGGCTTGTTCAATTCAAATGGAAGTGGCAGAAGCCATGGAGACTCTCAGAATGGATTAGGCACAGTGATGAAACAATCATTAGATCAAAGCCACGTCAATTGGCTCTGCTGCATAGAGTATGATGTTCTGTGGTTGGCAGATTATGGTTGCTTAATGTTAATACTGGACCTACAAGTAAGATCCCAACCCACAGCATGGGGAGAGCATATAAACCAGTGCAGGTAATTTACTAATGGGAATCCTCAACTCCCATACATCTTTTAAAGGATAAACAAATGGCCATATCAAACCAAAAGTTGGCCTTTTTCATGAATGACATTTTATTTTATTTTCTTTAACATGCAGTATGCGAGGAGTGGCTGTTCAGGAGACTGCTTACAAAGGTCTTGGATGAGTTGATTTTGGAAAGTTATATTTGTAATCTTCAAAAAATTTTGGCTGTGGTTACCAACACATTTGGAGCATTGTGTAAAGTTGTGTGGATGCTCCTGATGGTTTCCCAGACACACAGAAAAGATGCCAGAGGAGTGATAGTTTTAGTGTTCATAAATTGACAGAACACATCACTCAAGTTGTCTCTAAGGTTTTGGTATATTCTTCCGCAAATAACAACACTTTGGGAGAGAAGAAGTTCCTGAAGGTCACAGAAAATTTGTATGAAAGGTGGTCGTTTTATTATTATTATAATTTTTTTTTGGGGAGCCAGTTGTAATTTTTCTTAGCTTATATGTTCTAGTGTTATATTGTGTGTAAGCAAATATTGATTTTGTTATATGAAAGATTTAATGGAAGCGTTCTTGATCTCGACTATAATATAATGAAGAAAATTTTCTCCTTTTGGAGTTCCTTTGTTTCCTGGGATGTTCTAACAAGGAAACACTATTATTACTATTATTATTACTATTACTATTATTATATTATTTGAGAAAACAAATGAAACATTTTTCGAGCAACAGATAATCATGCAAATTCCCTACATAATTCTTTCACCAAAATTTCCTACCTATTCATTTGTTTGTTTTAGTGTCTAATTTTCTAGAGAAAAGAAAATAACACTATAAACAAGGCACATGAGGTGGGTTAAGAGAAGCTTATATACATCCTCCTTGCAAGTAAGCTGCTTAGGATAAAAGACTTGTGCTTCTACATGTTTTTACTAGCACGGAAGCTGCTTAGAATCTCATTTTTTTTAAGGAAAAAAAAAAAGGGAAAAGAAAGGTAAAACAACACGAGTTTCAAAGCTTTATTACCCAGAAACGGCAATTTGCTCAGTACAGGAGTATAAAATTCTACATTTCCCTCGTATGGGAATAAGTTTTTGTTATCCGCTCCACTCTTTAATCAATTTTTATGACACAAAAATCAACTCTATCATATTTCACAGAAGCATACTTGAATATATGAGCAAAATCCAGTTGAATGCAATAAAAGTCTGCTAATCATGCATCTGCTGGACATTGAAAATAAACATCCACTCCACATGTTTTGCACATCAGATGCTGCAACACCAGTATGCATAATGTTCCTCTTTACGATGATTACTTACAAGACCACCGCACTTCAAACAGATAAAGCTGCTTCCATCCGAGAAGGCATCCAATACAATTTGAGTCCTTCCAGTTTCTGCTAGTATGGAAATCCCATGAGCATCCGATGCAACAGATGGGATGCCTGTGTTACAACATATTGGTGATTCAGGCTTTGAAGGCTCTGCTTCTGCAATTGCACACTCAGCAAACAAAGAGGCCAATTGGTCAACAGCAGAGTTTGCTTGAAGTTTACTAATGTATAGTTCACGGGCACGCTGCAAGGATTGAAGTACAGCACTATCTCCACCCTGACTTCTCATGGCCATCACAACCTGTTACAGAGGCAATACATGGATTGGAACTGAGTAACTATCCAAACAGGCATAATTTCTAGAAATATTCAAGCAGTTCACAAGTTTCTATTTACTACATATTGATTAGAGAAAGCAAGTTCTCAGTACAGTCCCAAAGTCTCAAGTATGAATCAGAGAAGACCGTGGAAAAGATCTATTTTTTGCCATCTATGTAAGAATCTCTCAAATTAACAAGTTACATGACAATGCATGAAGTACAACACTTGATTTCTTGCTTTTTATGTTATTCAGTTTCTATTTGGTTTAAAACTTCTTGTCCTCCATTAATGTATGTTTTTTCTTTCTTCTCCCTAATAAAACTTCTTTTTTCAATACAAAAATACACCAATATATCTAAGGTTGTAGGGTAGTAACTCTGTATGCTGCCTAACAAGGATGTCATTCATTTTCTTTTCATAACAATTTAAACACATTAAAACTTTCGTGGAAAATTTTTGCTTTGAGTTTGAATAGCCAAACTCAGATATCCAATAGACAATTAAACATTGACAAAAACAGCATCTATGTCAGTCTCACGTCTTTAATTGCTGAAAAATGGGATTATTAATGTCCCTTACGGCTTTTGTGGAATTAATTTTCTGCCAGTTACGGTATGCCTGATTATAAATAACGAACATTAGCTTCATGAAAATGTAACAGAATGATTTGCAAAAACTGAGGAAACATCCTAGTCTACTTTTGCATTCAAGGAGCCAACTCTAGAGGATGTCAAACCTTATCCAAGTCAGTACGAAAAACATATTTCCCAAGAGGTCTCTGAAGATAATCAATAAGGAATACAATAACGAAAATGCTTAAATTATCAAGAGAATGATCAAAAGGTTGACAGCTTCCAAATAAAGTACAAAAACTGCAAGCAATAAGTATAAGGCAATTCATCAACAAATAATGCAACTACCGTCGGACAACGAATAAGATACTGACACTTAATGAAAGCAACAGTATACCATTGGCAACACTATGTATCAGCTGACATATAGAACTTAACACAACGTAACAGGAAACTAATCAAATTCTCAAAATGGCTTTATATCACCACAACTTCTGTTAGAATAGTTGTTATATTTGTTTTGTGTAATTTTGTGTAATTGTAGGGTTATATTTATAATTGGGCATAAGTTAATCATTATGTATAAATACCCACACATGTACTGTTTATAATAACTGACGCAATTTTCCATATTTCTCTTCGTGCTCTCTTCTTTCCCAAAGGCTTCTGATTTCCTTTATCTTTCTTACAAAGATTGTTAATCTTCAAACTTTTTCTTTGATTGTCAGTTCAATTTGTGCAGTAAGTTTAATAACTTCTGGAAAGTGCCGAGAACTAAATATGACATGAGACGACTGCAAGCAATCATGGTTGACACTAATGTAGCTGAAGCACCGTTTACCCTCCAATTATTGATCATTGCCGGTGAATGCTTCTTGCTTCATCCCTAACACGAGAACTATACCAAACTAAGCATCCATATCATCACCGAGTAACCTGAAAACCTAAAATTGGATGTACCTACATTTCACTTTATCTCACATTCTCCACCAACGTCTCTTTTCTTTCCCTCCCTGGTAAGTTACAATAAAGACTTTATCCTTCCCGACTGAGAGGCTTAACTGAAAGACTGATTATTTACTAACGAAGTCCAGTTAACTGACCATAAAAAAGGAAATCTAGAACAGCGTATAGCTAAATACGCATAAGATCCGCTTATCTAAGATGAGTGAAGCAAAAAGGAAAAAGATAGTTCCTTTGGAAAAGCAAATGAACAAAGTTCGACAAAATTATAATTTTGATCCGTGCCCACGAAAACTTAGCGAGATAAAACGTTAAGCACCTATCATAAACAGCCACTAATTCAAACCCAGTAATCATTAATGAAGACAAATCAACAAAAATCATAATTTTTTAATTAAACCAAACAAAAAAAAGGAGGGTTTGAGAGTTAGGAATGCAATTACCGCTTGAAGAGCCTGCGAGGGCTTGCCTTGATTGAGGAGCTGGCGAGCTAATGAGAGAAGCTCCTTGACTCCATCGTCCTTATCCTGCCGCAGCGGCTGCATTGCGGCCGAGTTCAATGGCTCGGTTTCCATCATCTCCGTGTCCTTGTGGTCCATGGCATCGGCGAGTTGTGAGTAGGATGAATTGCTTATGGTGGAGCTATCAGCTTCAGGTATCGACAATTTCCATATGAGAGATTTGGGTTCCTTCCTTTTGCGTCGCGCCAGATGTTTCCAGCAAATTCGGTCGTACGACGCCGCTTTCTCTCCAAGAGTTCTCGAAGGTGTGTGCTCATCTCGTATTGGGCCAAGAGTTAACATACGGGCCTAGTTCGGAGTAAAAAATTTTCTTTTATTTGGGCCTCCAGCCCATTAAAGTATATCAGTATGCTTAAAAATTTTTTGTTTGGAACTTTTATCCCCAGAAAATAATTATTTGGAAAACTTTTTCAGTCGACAAAATTCGAAAATTATCTCGTCTTACTTTGCTTGTGAGAAAATGACTGATTCAATAATATATAATTTTTAAAGAAGTAATAAATTGGATGAATTACTTTTTTTAAATCAATAATAATAAAAAGTTTGATTGAACTTTCTGCAGAATTAATATTTAATAAAAATTAAAATAACTGAATTTATATCTCTAATCATTTTTCTATTCATTGATAAAAAGTGACAGTATAATAGTACATCAATTATAACAACTAGGACGTTCCAGAATGTGGGTCCAATTCACCATCCTCCATTAACACAGCCTCCTTAATTTCCTGTAACATCTTCAACACCTGCCACATCGTCGGCCTCTGCTCCGGCGACCTCAAACTACAACCAATCGCCACCTCAACCAGCATCCCCAGCCTCTCATCGTCTCCTCCGGCTTCCTCCTCCCTGCTGCACTTCACCCACTGCATCATCTCCTCCGGCGTCAACACAGGGTGCTGCGACGGAGCCTTCCCCGTCAGAAGCTCCAGCAACATAACCCCAAAAGAGTACACATCAGATTTCGACGTTGCTTGTTGGCCGGCGTTGCGTGTCTCCGGAGCCCTGCAGGCTGCGGCATCCGAGTCGATATCTTCCGGCGGCGAGTTGGCTGCTAGTGCCACCAAGCAGTAGTCGGCGACGCAAGCCTCGAAATCGGGGCCGAGGAGGACGTTGGTGGATTTAAGGTTGCCGTGGACGAGCCGCCACGCTTGGTGGATGTAGGAGATGCCTTGGGCGACATCTTCGGCTATTTTCAGGCATGAGGTCCAGTGAAGTGGCTTCGCACGTGCGGATTTTGAGCCTGCATTCATGCAAATTAATTTTATTTTAATCAAAATAATTTTTATTAAAAAAATAGAAAAAGAAACTTAGTGTAGATTCCCCACGTGACAGCCACACCTCTACAAAATTAGAATCTGCTGACTGGGTCGGCGACAAGGTCAATTTAGTCAATAGTGAAGGTGATTTACCATTTAATCAAAAAATAATTAAGGGTTACTATTAGCATTTTGAAACATTAATTAATTAAAAAAGTTGAAATCACGTCAGCGGCAACTCCCAATGTCGTCAACAAGAGAGATTCCCAGTGCTGGTGAGAGAACTGGGATACCGCCAAATCGTGTAAAGGCTGGACAGGTGATAAATATTTCTTAGATTTTTATATAAACGTGGCAGTCTATGATTGGTCCTTCCTGAATCACTTTGTCTCCCTCTTCGCTGTCATCTACCTCGTTCTTATCAACGTAATTAACACCTACTGAGATACAGTGCCGAGTCGACCTACACGCAACTCAACACAGACTCAGTGAGTAATGCTGCCATTGAAGCAGGGGAAATACAACTCACCGTGAATTAGCGAGAATAAACTCCCATTGGGCTGATAATCGTAGATAAGGAGCCTTTCTTCTTTAGCCTGAAAATAAGCTCTCAGTGGGACAAGATTCGGGTGCCTGAGTCCACCCACCGATTCCATGTGCCGCTCGAATATCTCTTTAGTTGAACTCGCCAACCTGGTCGCATCAAGTCGCTTAACGCTCACGATCAGGCGGTTGTCGAGCACCGCCTTGTAGGTTGTCCCTAGCGTTCCTCTACCGAGCAACTCCGCGGAGGCTCTCATCAGCTGATCCAGCGAATAAAGTTGCGCCTCGCCCGCACAGAATACCAAGTTCCCGCTCTTCGCCACCTGCATCCCTTGCACTCTTTTCACCTTCTCCTCCAACTCCTTCTCTTGCTCTTTCTGGATCACCACCGCTGCCTGCCCCGTCGCCGCTGCATCGGACGTCATCACTGCCTTCGATTCTTTCTGTGCATTCTGACCTCTGTTCTTCTTCACTGTAATGACAAAGCAAAGAACCGAACCGATGAGGATAAGCAAACCAGACGAGAACCCAATTATCACCGCCGTTCTTTTCCTCTTGTGCTGATCGCTCGGCCGAGTTAACTCAACTCCCCGAAATTCCGCGCTCTGCCCTAGCCCCACTGTTGGCGGCGGCGATGCCTTTCGCCGTCGCCGTGGTGGGACCAAAGAAATGTGGCCGTGGGTGGCACTCTCTGTGCACGATCTCGCCGCACAGACCAGGGTTCCACGAGAAAGAAGATTGGCTGAAACGTAAGAGCGTTGGGGTAATGGGAATGGCGCCGGTGAGGTTGTTGGCTGATACGTTGAAAATTTGCAGAGAGGACTGGCTCAGAGGAGGAATGGTGCCGTTAAACCTGTTTGAGTCAAGGCGGAGGTAGTAAAGGCGGTCTAGTGAAGCTAACCCGGCGGGTATTAGGCCACTGAGATTGTTGTAGGAGACATCTAGGGTTCTTAGTCGATGAAGAAACAAGATTGATGAAGGAAAAGAGCCTGAAAATGAGTTATGATTAAGAAACAGAGACTTCAGATTGACTAATCGTGACAAATCGGGGATTGGTCCAGTGAGGGAGTTGTTCTGCAGACTCAATACGCGGAGTTGGTCGAGGCGACTCAGTGAGTTCGGAGCGAAAACACCTCCGAGATACAGATCTTCGATAACGAGACGCACAACTCGGTACTGGAAACAAGTAACTCCTTGCCATTGACAGAAATGGAGGGTGGTGTTCTGCGAGAAGCGAAGCTTGTTCCACAAATCAGATTTGGATTTGAAAGCCAAGAGACCGGAAGCATCGGGTGGTACCAAGGAGCTCACAGCAGGAGCGGAGTGATGCTTCGAGGAAGCAACAATGGAGGAAAGTGAAAGGAGAAAACAAGCATTAATCAATAAGAAAAACAAAAACCCATTACGGGACTTTCTTCTTTTATCAAGCATCGTTCCTCAATGCAAAACAACCGCGCACTTTCTCTCTCACTCGTCACTCACTCCGCCATTACCCAATTATTTTCTTCCGTAGTCCACACTGAAAGGCATATGATTCTTTCAGGGGAGAAACGAGAGAAAAGAAGGTGAAAGTGAGAGAAAGGGAAGGTGATGGAAGCAAGCAAAACGTGACAAAGCATGTAGGAGCTGAAGAGTAGCTGTCGGCTCTGCCTGCGAGCTCAGAATCACGTGAAGGGAAAGAAAAAGAAATAGATTTGAATTTATTTTTTTTTTTCCTTTATTGAAGAAAAATAAAAAAAAAATGGGTTTATTCTGTAAAATGCATAAAAAGTAAATTTATCCATAGAGATTTGAAGAAATATTTACCCTTCAATGACTTTAATAGGTAGTTGGCGTCCAGACATTCTGATTTTTGAACCCTGAAGGGTTTAGCAGTCGACCATTTGATAGCCCTTTTCCTGAATATACAGAATTAATAGGGCTTCGATGAGCCCATTTCAGAATAGGGAAGGGCCGCTTAGAGAGACTGATTCTTGCTCGGGGGGGGGGGGGGGGAGAGAGGGTATCCTCTGTTTTTGGTGGTCTGCTGTCCCGACATACGAGACTACTACTAAGTCCCACCTTTACCTTTCATTTTTCTCATAATGTTAAAATCGTTATATAATTAATTTATGATGATTCCCCCAAAGAATTTGTAACCCTCCAACCTCTCTATCCCCTTCGTGGAGGGAAAGAGAAGTAACCAAACTCAGATTAAAGTGGCGCTGGTTTTAAGGCCATTTGCTCGTTGTTGAACAAAGGTAGTTTTCACAAGCATCATATACACCAGCTGGGAAGAAATGTAAAGGAGCTTTAAGAAAATATCATCCAAATTTATGTTGGATACTACTAACTTTTATTCTAATTAATTAATTAATTTAATTGTTAGAGAATTTTTATTAATTAATATAATAAGTTAAATTTTATATTTATTGAATAGTCGATTACTTTTAAAACTATAATATAGCCACAAAATAATATTTCAATAAATATAATCATATTTTTTTATATATAACTACGAGAGAGTAAGCAAGTTAAGTGTTAATCTATTATGTTTATTTCAATTTTGTCAAAAAAATATTTGTTTTATTGAAATTATAATAATTTATTATAATAAAATTTAATCTAATTGTTACAATATTATTGTTAATACACTAATTATTATATTAATAAATTAAATATTATAAAATTAATCACTAGGTAAACTATAAAAATAATACGATTTATTTTAAAAATTATAAAGATTAGAATTTTAATTATTATAATATTTATCCAAACCCAATTATGTTGCGCGACAAACAAGTCTTTTTAACTGTTAATATTTTATAATGATTCAGTAGTTTAATTATTAATATGGAAAGTGAATTACCATTAAAAAATAACATATGTCAAATTACTATTATTAATTTGTACAAATATTTCTGGTTTCTTCGGGGCCAAGAATTACCAATACAAGCTTTGGATAACACGAAAAAGGTGTCTCACTCTTAACATTTCTCAACCCAACGATAAATTAATATATTAATAAAATTATTTTTATAAGACGTTCAGCAGCGGTTAGTTTCCTTCAATTAAAATAGTTGTAATATGTATGATTAATTTTTTGTTATAATAAAATTTGTTTATTTTATTTGCACCTAATATAGGCTAAAAATTAAGTTTGTTATTAATATGCCAAAAACTTATTCCAAATAATTTTGACTATTCCGCTGGGCTTGCTTTGCATTGAAAATGAATTGTTAAACGTGGGCTTAGAAGAAGACCGTTCAAATTACTTTCTTCTGGGCCAGTATTCTAATCCTACATCCTCTCTGTTTCTTTTTTAAGTTCTTATTTCCATTTTATAAAAAATAAAATGATACACAGCCAAAATCATGATGTCGTAGATTTTAACTTATAAATCTACATTTAATTTTATTAAGAATTTCATATGAATCTAAATTTTACAGTTAGAAAGTTTTAAATTACAAATGAATTTTATGATAAATTTTCTTATCTTCATTGGAGAGGCCCAAGTAAAGAAAAAGTGAAAGAGTAGTAGATGGATTACAAATGAATTTTTACGTAATTATCAAATAAGGTAGATGTTTAGAAGGACCATAGCTTGTGTTGTTGATTTTAAAAGCAGTATTAAAATAATTGTTAAATAAAAAGTATTTTCAGTGAAAATTATTTTTTATAAAAATAAAAATCGTTTTCCAAAAATTAAAAATTTTGATTTCAAATTTATCATAAATAAATTTTAAACGAGTTATTGTAAGTGAAGGCCATTGGGCGGCCTTGTCCGTTGAGTGAAAAGCCACCCAGCTCCACTTGTTCATGGCTTTTTATCATCTTCATTTTTATGGAATTTTATGATTGGCTTCAAATTTCTTATGCACTAGAAGAAGTTGAAAATGAAACATAAGTGGGATGGCCAGCTTCCAAACACCTCCCAAGCGTGACCAATCTAATTATTGCTCCTTTTTTTCTACTTTTCTAGCAAGGGTTCATCCACTTTTTACATTATTTTAGTTGGATACTTCTTAATTTTCTTCTTAAATTATGAATTAGATTCGAATCGTGCATTTCTGTGTGGACTCGTTAAGATCAAGACAACACAATTAACACTCAAATTTTCCCATTGTATACATTAAAAATTATATAACCTTTTCAGCAGATCAAGGAGACGAAGCCATCTTCTTCTTCCCAATGTAAGAATCCCATGGATATTGGAATAGAGAATTCTTACAAGGAATAATGTAAGTCCACATTGACGAACATGGCCTTGGTTTAGCAAAGAAATTTGCACATTCTGCTGTAGATCTCTGAAACGGAAGATCAGGAATACAGTTGTTTCTAACATCAACTACTCCTCTCGCTATCAGAGCTCTGCACGCAGGACCCACCTGAATAAAATAATTTTCCGACAGCGACAAATTCACCAACCTCGGTAAACCACAAACCACCTCCGGCACCATTCCGTAAAGAAGGTTCCCAGCAAAGTTAAGCTGCTCCGCCTTCTCTAAACAGCTCACCGAGAACGGTAACTCGCCGGTTAACCGGTTCTTGCCGACGTCCAACACTCTGGCTTCTCCGAGAAACCCGATTTCGTAAGGCAAACACCCAGTTAACTGGTCGTTTAATAGCAAAACCTCAGTTAAGCTCGACATTGCTTTGAGAATGGCACTTGGAATTGGACCCCTGAAGTTGTTGTTGGCTAAAGTGAGGAAGACAATATGGGTGTTTGCGATGTTGTCGGCCAGAATCTGCATGAAGTTGTTGTTGTTGATGAAGAGGATTTCGAGGTTTTGCGTGAAGATTTCAGCGGGAACCGAACCAGCGAAGGAATTGAATCTAATGTCCAAGAAAGTTAGGCCGTTCATGCCGAGAACGGCGGCCGGAAACGGGCCGGAAAACTGGTTGTTGCTGATGTCGATTTCGTAGAGGTATGGAAGGTTAGCGATGTTCGCCGACAGAGTCCCGCTGAAATTGTTGGAATTGGCGTGGAAGAGAGCGATGTCGGGAAGTTGGTCGAGGAAGCCGTCGAGAGTTGGAGCGGAAAGCTGGAAGCCATTGAAGTCGACGGAAGCAACGGCCATTGCAGACTGGTTATCCGGCGGGCTTTCGCAGTAGAAGCCTCTGTATTTGCAGATGTCTGAACCGATCCATGATGTGGTAATGCCGAGAGGATCCGAGGTGATGATTGATTTGAATTTCTGGATTACTGGGTACACCACGGCGAGTCTTGGGTCAGCAAATGTAAGGAGTTCTTCTGTAGTGGCTTGGACAGGGAGGATACTTTGGCGCCCATTGTTGCAGGTTCTGTTGACGAGTTCATTGCGGCCAAGTGTGTCTCTGTGGGCGCCATGTGCGAAAGAGTTGAGAAGGAGACAAGCGAGGAAGAGGGCGAGTGGTGAAAGTAGAATTGTTGAAGAGATTGGGGAGTTCATGTTTTTCTCTGGTTTCTTTTTCTTTTTTTTCTTTTTTTTTTTTTTTTTTCTTCTTAAGATCTGATTTCTTGTTTTCATGGAAGAGAAAAGGTGGCGGGGAAAAAACTTAGAAACATCTGGTACTGTACCTACTTTTATTTGCTGTATTCTGCTTTAGCTCCACTAAAAGCAGTATTTCTGATCATTGCCAACCAAGATAGAAATTAGTGTTTATAATCTAAAATTACTGGTGGTTAGTGAGATTAGTACATTTAAAATTATCAATCATTTATACTAAAATGTTATATCTGTTTCAATATTAGGAATTTAATTATTGTAAATTTTTTTTTCCAAATATAATAAATTCGTTTAAATTTTATTAACTTGTTATTGAAGATCTATCAAGACACTAATAATTTTAAATTTTTTATCTTATTAAATTAAATATTATATAGTAAACACCATTAATTATATTAGAAAAATGGATGGTTGGTCATCTAAATTAAAAATAGTTAGCTAAACATGGTGATTAGTGGCTTATAACTGAATTAAAAGAAAAGAAGATGGGCCTGAAGACATGAGTGGGTCAGTGGGTTGGTGGAGGCATGTTATTATGGCTGCAAAATTGGGCAGTGAATTCCACTTTCCATGTCATTTGTTGTTGCGGCGGCTGGTGGAGTACTGGCTGTAACCCTTCTCTTTCTCTCTCCATTTTTTCTTTTCTTTTTTTTTTTATATAAATTTGAATAACATTAAAGATTGTACTGTTAAAATTTTAAATGTCTGTCACGACAGGAATTTCAGGGCCGACGGAGCCCATCTGATTCAAGCCCGATAACAGCCAATATAGAGCTGGGCCGAGGATCCACTTTTGAAATTTTTGACTTTTGGACCTACCTTGGCCCATTTCTGCACCTGTACATGTGTATATGTGATGAACAATGCAGCAAATCCAGTAGAAGTACTATAAACAACATGAAAAATATTTTAACAACGTATATATGAAACTTAAATTTTATTGAATGATATTTATATATGTGATGAACTTAGTCAACGAGATCAGAACAAAATCGAGCTTAGTAAACAAGATGATTTGGTATCCGACACCAAATCAGTGAGAAAGTCAAACATTAACAACAGACACTAGGACTAAGTTAGAGATTCTGTCATCTTCTCACTTGACATTAATTCGACATTTCAATTTTCAATACCCAATTTCGATGTTAATGGATTTACCAATTACAAAATAACAAATAATTAAACATGCAAACTGAATTGATTGAGTTATTTGATAAACATGTAAAATTATAATAAATTTGTATATGTTTTCAAGAGAAAAAAAAAAGTTCCAATCGATTCAAGCACACTGACATCGATACAGATAGCTTATTTAAGAAAAAAGTGAATGACCAATATAATATTTATGCAATTATACATCCTACCCTTATTTTAAAAAATAATAAATAATTTTTTTTTTAGTGTAAAATAGAAGATGTTACTATCAATGTTGCATTTAAATGTTGGTTTACTTATAAAATAAACTTTATTTAAACGAAAGTTTTATAGTTCCAAATTCAAAGCACATTATTTCAAAAAAGAAATTCAAAGCATATTTTACTGAAAAGATAGATATAATGGAAAATAATTCCAAAGTGATTGACCAATTGAGATTGAGATTATTTAAATGCAACGCCACGCTATGTAGCTCAAAAGCAATGAAAATGTGCTAGTGCTAATCCAACCAAGATTTTTTATTTCTAAAAGAAAAGCGACAGGACAAGGCAAAGGCAAAGGCAAAGGCAAAGGCAAAGGCAAAGGAATCCCCCCCACCTTTGACTTCTGCGCACCGCATAATACTTTACCATCCAATATAACATTATTTTATTATATCTCTAGACAAATTTATAAATTTTAGTTGCACCATTTGAATTTATTTTATAATTGAGTTAGAATAATTTTTTTAGAATAATAATTGATTTGTATATTAGAAAACAACTAAATCGGGATGTATCAAAGTTACTCAAACTTTGTATAATGTACTAAAATTATATTTATATTTAAAGGGCAAAATATATGATTATCATTTATAATTGACAAAATAAAAAAAAAAAAAAAGAACCCACTACTTGCTGCTTGCATGAATCATGATTCAACAACACCCACCGAATCCACCATTTCTATATTTCTTATAAAAAAAAAAAAGAAAAAAAAATTTAAAAAAAAAATCAAAAGGAATCCTATATTGTTTTCAACAGCTACCATTACCCAACCAAGCTCCTAGCGTTGACTAATCACGCCTCTCAACCACTGATTGATTGATCGTTTGGTCTTCTCCCAATCCTTGTCTTGGAAGGGCGTGATTAAACTGAGAAATCACCTCTCAGATGACCGTCCGATCACTTGACTTACGATGACTCCAGGACAATCGCCGCCGGCATCTCGGCGGCTGGTTGGGTATGGTTGTGATCGCCTTCGTATGTTACAATCAACATCATGGGATCGTCTAGAGCGCGCTCCACGTGTTTCCGAGCAGGACACCCTCTGACGCTACTGCATTTGTAATATCCCCTGAAAATATGAAAAAAAAAAAAAAAAAAAAACAGAAGTCAGACAACTCAGAGGTGCAATTTGAAATGGCTGAGTCAACTCGGTTTGTGTGTTAGTTTGATTAATAAGATTTTAAAAATGTCAATGGCCGTGGAAGGTATTGGGAAGTAGAACCCCACAATCGTAAACGACAAACACAGCCGTATTAAACGACATAAATAATTAAAGCGAGTTGGCGTTTTTCACAGTTGTTGGTCAAATGGGAATATAATAGAGTTGATAAATGAGTAAATGACCGAGTCACATGTGAACGATAGAAACAAGGGAAATCTGGAGGAAATCAAACAAATATTCAAAGGTACGAAAGGTTAAAAAAAAAATTGGGAAGAAGAAAAACAGAGGAACTGATTGACTGGTGAGTCAAAACTCAGAACTCGAAGAACAAACCTTGGATGAGGAGAGCCTTTGATTGGTTTCTGGCCATATTTTCTCCAAGAATAATCATCGGGTGGAATATCAGCCATCTTGTTGCTAATTGCAGGAACTCTGATTACTCTCTTTACCCTTGATTTTCTGCTCCATTAAGCACCATTGATGGATTCAAAGCAGAGTCAGTCACAGTTACAAAATCATGCATATCCTTAAAACATAGAATCGAATGAAGATTAAATAGTGATTTAAACAGGAATCCGACTTGCCTTTTCTTGGAGCAATGACATCGACTAGAAGATGAACCGCACTTGAGAGCAGCATCGTCCATGGAACTGCACTTCCTCTTGAGAGAAGAACATGACAAAGGAGGCTTGCCAGAGGACGCAACATGAGATGGGTTTGTGAACTGAAAACCAGAAGATAAAGATCGCTGTATGCTATCCGTTTCCCCAGTTAAGGACGACATGAAAGAAGTCGCGGCAGAAATTGATGGAGATGGTGAGAAATTGATTGTGCCATGAGCATCATTTCTCTCCACGAATCCGCTCTTGGTCACCCCCAGATGAGGATTGGACTTGTTGTGGTGGTGATTGTGGGGCAGAGGAGGTAGACGATGAAGGGGAGTTGGACAATAGACTCTGAAAGCAGAACCTTGCTCTGTCGTTTGATGATACGTGGCCGACGGAACAGAAACAGATGGACCTGGGTCTTGGTGATTGCTCTGCGTTTGAAACTTTGGCTGGGATTGCTGCTGCTGTTCTGGTTGTTGCTGGGGGTGAATCTGGACGGCAGGAGCTCTTCTGAACCGAGCATGGCCAGTTCTAGATCGACCCAGCAGAGATATCATCTTCTTGAAGTTGTTCACAGCTACATCTGCAACAGCCTTGATTTCCACCGCTGGCGGTGGGCTTAACGAGGACGACGGCGAGGATTCCTGATACAGCTGTTGCTTATCTCTCGGTTGACTTTGAGAAAGCAATCTTATCACCTCCTCAACACCCTGAATTCCAGCCGATGCCGCCTCCCGCAGAGCATTCTCATCCATCCTCGCCGGCGACGCCGCTGCGAAACTATCACCACCGTAACCCATCATCAACTCCACAGCCATCCTTCTCCAGAACCATCCACAAACCAGACAAACCCGTAAATACAATTAGATTGTTGATTTGTTATAAAAACAAATACTCCCGTAAGAAAGCACCGCAAGAATTAAAAAAAAAAAAAAGAAGGAAAAAAGATTAAAAAAAAAACGAAAAAGAAAAGCAGAGAGACAAGGTGGAAGACGATGATGATAAAAGGGGTAGAATTAAGGGAATGGAGTCAAACTGATACCCTCTCTATGCAAGGCATCGTGTCGTTTTTTCATATATTGCCGTCAACCCTATGAACCAGTTAAATCACTCCACGTGGCGAACTTTTGTCTGGACATTGACCGCCTATTTAAATGCGGGACCCGGCAACGGCATAAACCGGTTGGGAACCGTGTAAAGAAATTATGAGAGAGAAAGTCAAAAGGTCGCTGTGAGCCGTTGGATTGGTGACTCTGTAACGCACATAGAGAGCGGCGTTTAGTTGGAGATGGTGAGGTAGAGTTGACCTTTAACAGCTTTTAATGCAAAAGTCATTAGTGAGAGAGGGTAAGGCCGTGGGTCCCACGGGGTTTCTTCTTTACCGGACACCGGAAGCTACGTCAAAGCCTCATCCCACAAGTCACATGGGATTCTTTCTTCTTCGAGAGAGAACTCCCAATTTTTTCTTATAATTCTTTTTCTTTCAAAATGGGCCCACTATAATTATTTGATGAAATCAAGATACATTCTCCACCGTCGATCAGATCCCATAATGAGATATTGCGTCATCAAAGTTGAATTCGCCAAGCATGGGGTCGGACTATGCATGGACTTATGGCGGGTTGCGTACAAGTGGACGTTGAAAAAAAGCCTCTCACTACTATTTGCCAATAAATTAAATAAATAAATATTTTTTGTTTGGTCAACTTGTTTTCGTTAAAATCAAATGATCATCCCGTCAATACCATTTTATTTATCTATCTATATTTAGCTAATCAGAAAAAATATATATATATTTATAAAAGGCAGGAGCAAGAAATTTAAACCTTAAATTATGGAAAAATAACATGAAAATTTTAAGACATTATATTACACACGATGATAATAATGCATGGATACACAAAATTCGGAAAATAAGAAAACACGGAAACACCAATCGTTGAATATATTTTATATTTATGACCTTTCGCCATCATTAGTTAGGTCAAGGCGAAATTAGGATAAATACTAAACAGTTTTTGACAAAATAACAGTACAAGCTGTTATTAATTAATATTGAAACGGGATTTAATTTTTTTTTAATTATAATTTTGTAGAAGTATTAATCAAATATTTAATTATTAAAAAATAAAAAAAAGTGTGAGGCATACACAACATGGGGGCGCCTTGACTTGCAGAAAATTCCGTTTGTGAACGAACACAAGTCCATGAATAGGACTGTAGTCAGCATTTAACGAATTTCATGGTTTCTTCCAACAAAAGGAAAAGAATATTAAAATTTGAAAGGATTGCTTGAAAAACAATTCATAGGCTTTCCACATTTTGAGATCAAATCCATGAAATAAGGAAGGATCGTGGGAAAGGGATTTTTACCCTTATAATTTTATTTAATAAATCTCTGAATTTCATCATCCCCAAACAGACCTCCAACACAAAAAAAAAAAAAAAAACCAATCTATATAAATGCTTACCCAAAGCAGCATTTTATTAATTATACATATATATGAGACACTGTTTAATATTTCTAAATTGAGAAAACACAAAATAATTATACTTTTTTCTTAATAGCATATAACCCAGCTAAATACTACTATTGATTAAGGAAATAAGTGAGCACAGGGTGTATTTTATGATTTTCTTTAATCAGCGAAGATATCATTTTATGTTTTTTTTTTTTTTTTTTTTTTTTAACTGAATACGACGTCGTATGTCCATTTTGTTTCAATTTTGGAGTAGAGAGTTCCTAAAATACTCCTCCATGTTGTCGGGCCACCCCGTGTATTATTAATGTTTGAAGTCAAATAATAATAAAAAGAAAAATCCAATTCCATAGTAAATCGGGTGCATAAATGAAGAGATTCACACGCTAATATTAATCAACTTTTCACACGCCTTCAGAAAATTTTGCCTATCAATAGTTTAATCTTATAGTAAATTTAATAAATAAAACTTGAATTTTTTATTTACTTATAAAATGATGTTATATATATATATATTATCTTATTCACAACATAATATATTTTTTAACTATTTTGTAATTTTTATTATACAGTATATGATAACACAGTTAAAATATAATGTCTATATTAAAGTAAGCCATTGTTTGATTTCATTATTTCAAAACTCACAATAAAAATTACATAAAAATATTTCAATGTGATATTTAGACACACACTTTAATTTTTCCTTATATATTATACATGAAGTTAAAATCGATTTCACTTTTTATAATATATCAAATAAAATATTTTTTTGTAAACTTTCGATGGATAATATAACTTTATTTATTAAATATTTTATGTTTATATAATTTTTTTATGTAAATACGTGATCTTATTATGTATCTAATTATGAATTTATAGTGTTAATAATTCTGTTAAGTTTAACTCCTAAAATTCATGCATACCAAATATTTTATTTTGATATTTCTTATTGAATATTTATCTTTCAATTATTTGATTGTAACTGGTAATATATGTGTACATATCCTATGATTGTTAGTTTATGAATGACCCAAACAATATAATTTAGCATGACCCTCGAGTAGTCATCCAAAATGTTCCGATAGTTTTCATTATTATGTTCATATCAAATTTAAACTCTTTATATTAATATAAAACAAAAATTAATCTATTACAACTAATAAATTTTCCTAATTTATATGTAACAATCAAATAACGATGCATTAATTTGCTAGTAATTAACAAAGTATCAAATTTATATATATGCGTAGAATATATAAATTATTATATATATATATATCAAATGATTAAAATATATACAATAAATCTGAACGAAATATAATATTACTACAGTTATATAAATTAGTCTACAAATATTTTACCCGCTCAATTGAAGAAAAAAGAAAAATCAAAGTAACAAAATTTAGAAGAGCAGAAGTGTGATTCATACACAACACGGGTTGCAAAAGTAGCGTGGACTCTTGGACTATCAATAAAAAAAAATATGCTTTTGAACACAAGCCCGTGATACAAGATTCTACCAAACATTTTGCCGATTTTTGTTTCTTCCGACAAAAGAATAAAAAAAAAAATATATATATATATATATATATATATAGAGAGAATTGCTTGTAAAACAAAATAAATAAATAAATACATATATATATACACACACGCACACACACATACACACACACACACACATGAAATGGGTCTCCTGTTCTAATGAGACTTGTGGGTAAGTGGTGAAGTACTGATATTTTTTAGAATAATTCGAATTGAAGCAATTGAATATTTAACTTTGAAGCTATATGATATAATCAATTAATAAAAAATATTATAATACTCCACTTTTATCATATATCATACTGTGTACATATATATATATATTATATTCATAGAATACAATTCAAATTTAAAATCTTTTAATGGTGAAATTTTACTTTTTAAATTCCCAAATTTTATGATTTAATTAAAATGTAATTATAATAGTCGTTACATCTTTATCAAGTGAATCAAACAATCCATTTACACGTCTAATTTAAGTTCATTCATTCATTTTTTCCATTATAAGTCCAAAAGCTCAGTGGGCTTTTTTATAAGCTCTTCAGCTGTCAACTGAAAGGGGCTTTTTTTTTTTTTTTTTTAACTTGAACTATAAGCTAAAAGCCGCTTTTTTGAACTTGAAACAACGATGAAGTGGAGACAATTACAATAGTTTTTTAAAAATATACTCTCTTTAGGGCTTAAAGCCCTAAAACAATGAAAAGCCCAATGGTAGAAAATGGTATGTTAATGATTATACAATTAAATACATTGTTAATGTTGTAAATTTCAATTAATTAAATAATTAAAATTTATAAATTAATTAACAATTAATATATTTGAACCAGATGCAGTATTAAAGTAGTAAATGACGATTTTTCATAAGTTTTATTAATAAGTAATTTAATAAAACAAATGACCTACCTTTAACAATTTATTAAAATGATAAAACTAATAAATAATTTATTAAATATTAAGTTAATTAATGATTAATTAATTGAATAAATAAAATTAATTAATTAATTTTTAATATTAGTTTAATAAGGAAATTCGTGATTCCGTTAGAATTCCGTGAACAACCGCACAAACGTTTCAATTCCATGTACGGTTGTCGTTAAAATTGCGAACAAATAAACTTTTATAAATATGTGACGTTAAAATTCACGTGGGTGCCCCGTTCAAAATGACGTCATCAAGTATATTCAATTTGAGGCCAGGTGGAAAATTAGAATCAAGCGCATCTACCATTTTTTGAATCTCTTTAATTTTTAAATAAAAATGGGGAATACTTCTATGCTAAATTGAATTTTTTCATTTAATTTACAGTCAAACATATACAACCTCCAATTTTGTATATATATATTTATGTATATTTTTTTAAACTTTAACTTAAAATTTATTCTTAAATAAATTCAGATATATTGTAGAAGTCTCAATTTACTTTAGATTTCGAACGAATTTTTAAAATTTATATTTTTTTACTATATAAATTTTAGATTAACATTACTATACTCATGTACTAATAAAAAAATAAAATACGCAAGATCCAAAAAAAAATCTTTAATAAATTAAAAAATATTAATAATATATATTATATATTTAAAATTAACAAATATAAACATTAAACTAAATAATTGTTGCGATTAAGTTGAGATGTTCTATTCACATAAATTGACCCGTATTAAGTATAAATGGTCCCTTTTTTTTAATAAAAATAAAAATAAATGTTCCTATAATTTTCTCCATATAAAAAGAATATAGTTTAGTTTTCAACTTTGCAAGTTGTTCAGAGTTATTTATTTTTGTATTAATATATTTTATCTTATTAATTTCAATAATTTTTTTTAAACTTATTATCTACGAGAAAAAAATCTTAATTCATTAA